TTCACGCTGTTCATTCTCATTTCACATAACCTATTGTTTCTAATCATGCTTGCAAGACTTATACTACATGGCTTTTTCCACCCTTGCTCACTCGCCACTGAGGAATGATTAGTGTTGTCCGAAAGCTCTGGTTCCATTTCTGGCTGTTTACTTACATTTACTTTTAGCTTTTGCTCTAAGCTATCTTGTGGTAATGCTATAAATATATAGAAATACAGTTATTGAAGAGGAATATGCGATTGTGAAATCCTTTGCATGTAATAATGTATTGAAAATAGAAGGATAAACATTGTGTGTGTAAATGACAAAATTTTTATGTAACATCATTCACATTGAGAAAGGTTACACATATGTAGGTTTACTGATTCAAATATCAAACAGGAACTGAGACAAAGAACAGAAACATACACATTATTGCATTTTTGAATTTATAAGGGATTTATGAAGTAGTTTCTTAGGGATAATTATATAAATTATGGTACAATATAAAAGTTTTGATTTATGTTGAGATTTATAAAGTATGTTTCTTAGGGATATCCTGGATATAACAGTTGCTTTCTAGGGATAGAAACTGACCGGCAATAAACTTGAGTAAAGATATATTCTGAACATTTGTTAGCATAAACGCTCCTGAAATGAACCACCACGGTTTAAGAAAATGTATAAATGCCGACAATCTATGTCAGGCTTGGGCTTGATTTAGGAGCGACTGAAAGCATGGTAGCATTTTTATGTTCTGTCGGCAATTAATTTTAACTAAAACACGGGTCTATGAACTTAACATACAAAAAAACGATCCTTTTTATAGAATGGTCCTACTTCCGCACACATCAATAAGGCTGTGCATTCCACATAAATGGTTACTACCATAACTCAGAGAGACGAATTTGCGGCTTAAGATGCTAAACTGCAAACCATTCTTTGTATTGAAAGTGAATTTCTCATTCCAAACGACATTCATAAATATTGAAATGGAATTAAAGCTTCGGAAAGATTCGTTTATCACACCACACGGTCAGAAATGTTTTATATCACGCTACATGGTCAAGTTTGTGAGATCTATTCGTCATTCTTACTCTGGTGAACAATTAACTTTAAAATTTAATTGCATTGTCAACGTTTTAGCACATTCTGCTAGAAATAAAAATTACATGAACGTAACCACAAAGGAATGGAAAGATCAAAGCAAGAAAAAATAGCATAAAATATGTAATAAATATATGTTTAAGACAAGGATCAAAGCACAAGTTTTTAATCACAATGGACATTACTACTTCTTCCAATGATCTCCTCTTGTTTTTAACTTTCATTCTCCTCATCTCTTGCAAACGATGAACTATATCATGTATATAATATATAATTACATTTATAATTTTATTTTAACAGTTTTCAAGAGCGAGCACATGCAAAATCTGATTTCTACATAGCCTATCTTAATAATAATAATATTTAGTGTAGATTTGTATAGCGCTGGTAAATCAAACAAGATACTCATGGCGCTAAATATGTGGACTAGTAACTCGATCAAAATTTTCTTTGCCCCTAAGCGTCCCTTCGTGTCTGTGCTAACCGGTAACCGTGTAAAAGCAACTCTCGTTGTTCACCACAGGGTCTGTCTGTACTACTACACCGGGGTATCACCCTACTCATCTCATGATGTACTGGATTCTTTATAGTGCACATGAGCCATTGCGTACACTGGGCCTATACGGTTCATAGTCTTTATCCGAGAAGATTTGTTCTACCACCAAAACAACAGGCGAGCATGCCGTTTGAACCAGTGCCGATATTATGGCTGTAGGTTGCGGCGCCCCTGCATTAACCGCTCGGCCATTAGACAAGCCATCTTAATATTATTTTATAAGCAACATTGTCTATAGGGGCTCTATATATTCTTCTATATTGCATATGATTGTCTTTTTGTTAAGGTGATACAACACATTGTCAGGCCTTGCCTTTGTTTTATTCTCTCCATCTTTATTTGTTGTTTTATTCACGATGGAATATAAAGATTGATTGATTGATTGATTGTCTATTTTACATAGCTATGTTACACACAGCTGTAGTGCATAACAAAGAAAATGGCCTCATCATGGCATCGGACAAAGATGGACCAGTGCTTGTCCAACATGAACAATTGTACTTCTGACCCCTGCTGGTGCCAGCACTCGACCTCGACATTGGTAGGTGAGACCGCTTGAATGCCACTTTCTCTGCTTTTAACGTAAGTGGCTCAATGTTATTACAGTAGATATTATATAACTATTTATTATATTATTTATTATAGTAATTTGT